TTTGAATTTTATTGTGTTTGTCACAGCAATTGTATATTAGTTTCTTTTTGGACTTGTGTGAATTTTGAGGGATCCGAGTGACAGAGTCTTCAGACTTGTTTACTGACTGAAGGATCCCTCTTGCCCTGGGATAAGTCAAGAGAGCTTAGAGCCACAAATCTCTTTGTAAAGCACTACAAGCAGAGCTCCAGAGGAATAGGTAGATGGGACAATACCTGCCTTGAAGGAAAGCTGCAGTGGAATAGGCCGAGGGGATGATACTTTCCTGGAAGAAGGACTGCAGTGGAGTAGGCAGAGGGGATGATACCTGCCTGGAAGGAGAGCTGCAGCTTGGTCGGTGGAAGAGCTCCAGAAGGACCCCAGTCAGGCTGTGGCAACTGAGGCACAAGCGCTTCATGTGTCCCGGTTCCAGCTAGGGAGCTCGCTTGGCGGAGGTACCCAGCCGGAGTACAGGGAGCTCTGTCACATTAACTAGTTTAGATTTTTCAACATATTACAGTGGTGGGCGTTCTAAAGACAATGCAGGACATTATGGAATAAAGAGCTATAAATAATGTTATATTTACTGAGATATTCCCACAATCAGTGTCTAGCATTACAATGTGCTGCACAATCATTTATCGTTGGGTAGAAATACAAAGTAAATGCAACCTTGAAGATGTTGGAATAAAAACAAAATGTTTTGCTACATATGCATGTAATGTAGGACTTCGTCAAACTCCAGTGACACTGGAGAACCAGAAAATCCATGAGCAGTGTCTGAACACCAGATTGCTGAGAACTTACTCTCATTTACTTTTGGAGAGCAGCTAACTGAATCAATATATTGTACTCACCGGTTTTGTAGCTGGCTTGATCCACATATTGTGGATTTTCTCCTTACAATAGGCCTTCAGCACGTTTTGACCACTGGTAACAGCCTTCAGTCACTGGTTTAGTATTAAATTTAGGGCCTCTTCTTTTACACTTTGCTTCTTACAATTTTTAGATACATAATTTTTTTATTAATGTTCGTTTGTTTAATTAAAATTTGTATACTTACTTATGTTAATCTATATAATATATTTTGTTTTTGGAGTGCATTTTGCATTTATAATCAATATATCTATTTACATTTTGAATAACTTATTTCCATTTTCTTGTCATACAAAATGCATTTTCCTTAAAGGGAATGATCAAAGGATCTAGCTAATATCCTTCCTGAAAACTGCAGCAATTTTAGGATCAGGTTTCAATGATAGTTTATCATTACAACATCTAAATAAGAAGACTAGTTAAAGATCAAGATATTTATAGGAGTTAATTGACCTGGAGCTGTAATTTGACATTGTTTTGATATCAAACTGGTGATTGTTTAATTTAAACAAGTCACGCTGGGATCACCACTGAAATAATTTTGTGTGAACCAGTTAATATGCATATGATTGAAATGGTTTAAAATGTTTCTTATTCTAGATTTTGATATAATGTGTTCTTCAAGTTATGGGTAGATAAATTATAATATGGAGAATAGAAGTGTGCCAAGAATGGAAAAGTTAGAACTTTGCATGTAACTGTGAGTAAGTAAGAACACTGCTGGCAGTGGACACATACATAATAGACACTTATTTGGTCCAGTTTGACAAATACTGCATATTAAAACCCATGCAGCTCACTGGAGCAAATTGAACAGATGGATTTCCTTGGGCAGATTTGTCATTTTCTTTTCCTCTCCAGTCTTTAATTCTGTTCGTATTTTAATTTTCTACTCAATCGATTTTGCCTCTAACGTTGAAGATATGCTTTATTAAGATAGCTCAGTGGGCTAATGCATCATCAGTAGAATCTGTTCAATCCTTGTGTTGCAAGGTTATCTCAGCCTTCATCCTTCTGAGGTAGATAAAATGAGTACCATTAAATTGGGTAATATTAACAACCCCTGGATGTTGAGCTAAGGTAACATCCCCAGGATGTACTTGAAAACCAGAATAATCTGCATGTACCTTTCTTGGTTAAATACTTTGTTATTATTTTACCAGGTTCTGAAACTGCACTCTCTAACCATCAAAATCATATCATCTTAATATAATGGATTTAGTGCAAATATCCTTCCCCTTTTCTCAAACAATGTAAAATATTGCCATTACTTTGAAACAGTAATGTTTACATTTAGCTAGTGGCTTTCACAAAGACAGCCACTCAACGTGCTGCCACTTGCAGATCCTTTTCAAAGATCTTCACGTTTAGTGTTATCACGGACAGCATGATAATGTTCTCTTATAGAGAAGCATTGGAATCAATACTTCAATGTTGTATTGCTGACATTCCCATGCACGTGCTTTATGAAAAGCATTGGCTTGGACGAGAGATGTTTAGAATTGATTATCTCGACATGGGCAAATAGGGCTGCAGCCAGTAGTGTGTCTCAGTGCTGGATTATATGTTTTAGTTTTCAGCTTTTTTTCTGCAATCTAAATTCATAAAGAAACACATCTAACATTAAATATAAATATCTTTATATTTAACTTTAGCATGTTCCTGTAATGATCAAGTCTGACTGATACAAATTATGTTTCTTTTTAACTTGTGGTAATGTCTGTTGGTCAATGTACTAAAATCTATTCTGATAACTAAAGGATAAAAAAAAAAGTATCAAACAATTGCTAAAAGGTTTGTCCTATTACCAGGGAACAGGGCTAGTAGTAAAATGGTTTAGCAATAGTTTGTCCCCTTACCTTGGTCTCCACCAGGCTCGGATTCTCCCTGGTGGTCCAGTGCAGAGCCACAAAAGCTACAGCCATCGCTATTCATTGGCTGAGCACATCAGCTGACCACTCTAAGCCAAAGAATTCAACTTTGTCCAGTGAAAGTTGCACAGAATTGGCATTAGCAAACCTGGAACTTTAGTTCTGGGCTGAGTGATGACATTTCTATGATTGCTTCCAGAGATGGAGTTAAACCTCTGGCAGCAGAGGAGGTTAAACTCTGTACATGCAGCATTTGATGGCAAAACTCTGCACATGCAAACTTCAATTATTAAAGTGGTCATTGTTGAGTAACCTTTCAAAATTTTATGGCTACTAATGTCTAAAGAGCAATGCAAAAAGAAGGTACAAACTGTGGTTTTACATTTTCCGCACTAATCTGTTATTATAGACAATTTGTATGAGCAGATATTATAGAGTTATATATATATAGATTTAGCACCATAGCTGGTAACTGGTATGACTTGAACTGAGACCTTTTCACATGAGTACATTGCTTTTAAATATAATGATATTATTTTAATGGGACACTATAGGCACCCAGACACTTTGTCTCAATTAAGTGGTCTGGGTGCAGTGTCCTTGTCCTTGATTGAATTCTCCCTCTCCAGTTATGAATGTAGGCATTCATAACTGGAATCAGGTGTTTTAAAGTATGTAACCATTTAACACCCGGGGAATGCGGGGGGTGGGAGGGAGCTGAGGGACACTGTAGTTTTTATGAATACAGTTTTTTAATTCTTAACAGTATAATGTTACTTTAAGAATAGAGATCATCTGGAAGAATACAGACAATCATTGAATTACTTTTTATATGGAGTCCACCATTTAAGAATTTGCTACAATGTGTCCGTTCCAATGGATACGTTTGAAAATATTTTTAATTTCTACTTATATATGTGTGTGCTTTTTGTTTCATCAAGGTTACAGATTGCATCGCCAAATGAATACAGAGATTACTGCTTTTTATGCATGTGATAAAACCCTTTAGTGTGGGAGTTACGGCCTTGAAATCTTCTTGTCATATAAAACGATTACATCATCAAAAGGGCTTTTGCATAGTAAAATGTTTTAAACTGCAGCTGATGGCATAGGTTTATAAAGATATGAATAAACAGCAGTTATACAATAATTATTCAATTTCTATTTTATTGAACTATGGCAGTAAAGTCCATGTTCTGTTCTGTTTTTGTAAGAAACTGAAAATGTCTGAGATAAGTTAGGAGAATGGTGCAGTGGAGAACTTTAACAATGCCATAACATTAGTGGTTTCGGGATAATACGGACTAGGCACCCATGTAGACTCCATTGTTTACCTTTCCAGAACGCAGGCTCATAATAAAAAGACATCAGCTGTATGCTCCATCTCAGCGCATATATTACAGGAAGTAAGTGCTGAAATATGAGATCATATCCCAATATCCCCTGTAATGCACATGAGTATGCAAATTGGGGCAGAAAAGAGAGATATGAACATGATAATACACAAGTGTCTCGCTTCCCTAAAAGACTCAAAAGAAGTCTTTATTTTATTACCCCTAGGGTCAATTTAATTTTTGGGGGGTAAGCTTTTCAAATTATCAAAAAAATCTGTTGATGGTGACTTTTGCAGATAAATCTTTTGGAAAGTGTTCTAACAGATTGTGTGATCATTTGAAAAGCTTATTAAATCAAGGCATTAATTATTCTAGTAAAGTAAAGAATTAGCAATTGTGGCCTCCTACACTATTGCATGTGCATTAAACGCGTGACCCTCTGGATTCTATGGACCATTCTGCCTATAACTTGTATAAAGTGCTCCTATTTCGTGTCTGCTGTGTCATTTATGAATGTGCACATTATACTTGCATTTTTTTTTTAAAACACCAATAAAGGCATGCATAAAAAGATTCAGTGATAATATGCACTAATTAGTCACATAATTGTGCAAAATAGGACAGGAAACAAGAATAAGCAAAGAGACCATCATAAAAGATATTCTTACCATATGAAAAGCTGAGGACTCTCATTTATCTATGTGATTCTCAAATGTGGAATAAACGTGGAGTGGAGTGAGCTATCTAAGTGTAAACATATGTATCAATCAAATGTATCATTTTAGTTTGTCTATAATTAATTAAATTCTTTGCATTAGAGATGTCCCCATCCATCCATTTAAATTTCTTAAACGCTTCTATTCCCATAATACACAATAAAGACTTTTTTTTAAACTCACAAGTATCAATACATTATATTTAATAAAGGATACAACATACATTTTCATAACTGGTGGTAAAATTTTATTATTCAAGTTTAGATGTAACAGACATATTTACTGTCTGATATTTTTATTCTTCAATGCAATAAAAATAGACAAAGACAAGTTTGTGGGCAGAAATGAACATGCACAATGAACAAACAAAAAATATTTTGTGTTTAAGACAGAGGTCAAAATTCTCAGAAAATTTCTCAGGCCTAAATTTTTTTTGTTTTTCTATTTTTTTTTTTAGGGGAGGGGTTAGCGATAAAAAGATTTATAACAAAATCTAATTTATTTCTTTTTTGCTGGTGCATATTGCTTAATAAAGAATAAACATTGACATTTTATAATACATTGGCATATTGAGATGTTCCACACTCCCTATGCCATTTCCAAAATGCTTTTAAAGCACAGTATAATTTCAATATACAATTTTTTTTTGTCAAAAAAAAGAAGAAAAAAAAAAATGAAAAAAAAAAATAATAACATACAACAATAAGAAACACCTTTAGAAAATTTGAAAATTCGAAAATTCCCAAGGTCAGGTCTAATGATATTTAAATAAAAGAGTACGCATGTTATACAAATATATGCAGCATATATTTTAAACTCAGGGCCCATTCAACCCTATTATTGATCGTTAATAATAAACCAGCCTTTCAGATAATCCTAACCTTTTCAGCCAGTGGTTATAGTTTAATATGCTCTGCATCTATTTTTAATCCCCAAAAACAATTTGTACCAGTAATTAAAAGGACCCAGAAAAAATAGAAAGCACATGAAACCTTTTGTGTAGTTATTGGATGTATTAAGGGGATCTATTAAGATGGCTCATATATATCCATATTTATTTGTTTTTGTCCTTTAATATACATATATAGGATCTTTATTGTAATCTTTATTGTGAGGTTGTTAATTTTAAATTAGAGTTTCATTAAATCCAATAACTAGACACTCAATAAACCATTAAACAGAAATTAAAGTTTAATCTTAACACATATATTTTCACACACATGGCATTTAAATGTTCACTAAAAAATGACAATAATGCCTTAAAATAAAGAATTCAATGGGTTCTTAGCTTGAAGTTGACTGCAATAAAACAAAATATTTATAATAATATAGAATAATTTTCTATTACTAGAAAGCATGAATACCTGCTTGCAGGTAGCAAATGAAATTTAAAAAAAAAGTAATTATATGAAAATGTTTGCATTTTTACGTAGTATAGTAAATAAGTAAATATGTTTAAATAATTGTTTTAAATCTTTTGAGTGGATTTAGAGGAATCACATAATGTGTTATACTCTACAATCTATTCATATAGTGACTTGAAAAGTGACAAAGGTGAAAGAAAAGAAGAGAAAAATATAAGAACAAACAGGAAGAAATGTGTGAATTATTTATCAAAGCATCTTCACATTCCCGGACATATAAAGAAAATAGTGAGCGAATATGTTGGCGAGGGAACCTGTGCTTCTGAATGAGGGCAAAATAATGTGTACATTAGACAATTTGTAGTCTATGAAACTGTATTTAATAGAATACTATGTTGCGGGTATCTAAAACCATAATTACCATAAAGACACAATTATATGCTGCATTACATTAATGACTATATACATAAACTTGGTAATATTTAATAATAACATGGAACGGGCGGTGGGATTTGTAGAATGCTACCATATGTTATTTATTTATTTATTGTAATTATATTTTTTAGGGGGCTATGTGTCCTATAATCAGGCCATTATAGTATACAAAATAACAAATAGAAATTTAATAAAAATATAAATTCATATATTCCCAATCTCAATGATCAACAAATAATTAATATATTATATTTATATGGCAAATTAATGGATTAGACTATATTTCTTATGAAATAAAGTAGGTTGAATTGGGTATACAACCCTCTTCAACATTTAACTCACATAACACATGAATTAAGTCAAGGAATATAATCAGCAACGAGGCAAAAAGGCAAAATATACACTAATTGTTTCAACAGTGTAAAAATTACTACAACCATTAGGTGCTGCACCCATTACTTAAGGTCTCTTTAAAAAATAAAAAACCCTATAGAATTGCTTATATTTATAAGCTATTTTAGCCCACATGTAATTTAAGAAATGTGAAACGTAAGCCCTAAATATAGATTTCAATTCTACTTTTTCCTAATTATTTAATTTTTAATTTTATGTTGTGATGTAAAAAAAGACAGCAATGTTGTATCAATTATCATATCACACGTTGGTGAATCTGTAGGTATGTGGAGTAAATAAACACATTGTCTCAACATTCGTGAACCACAGGATTGCTATAACAAACATAAAACCTTTTCCTCTAATGAGTTCTTCTTTTATTGGTGTGATATCGAAAAAAAAAAAGTGACTAGATTTTATGTAAATCCACATGGAAATTGTAAGCAAATAAATTCATAGAATGTTTTTATAATACTTACGTAAAACACATTTTATTCTTTTATTGGAAATGGTTTAAATATATATTTCCCTGGATTAAACATCTTTGCACATCTCAATATGTCATGTACATAAACATCCCATGGATACATGCAGAAAAAAGCTATATGCCCTGATTTATTTAAAATGAATGAAAAAAAGAAAAGATAGTAAAAAAAAAAAAAAATCCTTAATTCACTCATTCTTATCTACGGGTGAAGAATGCTTTATAAAGAAACAATATTATGAAACCACAAAGGTGGGAAAAATACCTCTCAATCACCCACCCCAATGGACTAAAATAAAATAGAGAAAGGGAGATGGACAAAGCATTAATAAGAAACAAACAAATGCTGAACAATGTAAAATGAAGTGCAATGCTACTGAAGAATGCAATACACAAAACATCAGCTGCAATTCACACAGCACATAACAGAATTATGAAATGTTTCGTATGAAACATAGACACAAGCAATAAAGAGGATATATGTGCATCATTCTGAAGCGTAACAATGTGAATTAACATTTAAGAATACAAAAGTAATTGGAATGAATAGTGCTACCCTTTTATCCTAAATAGGCATAAAAATATCTCAATTTCCTTCTCATATTCCATCCCATTTTACTAACAAATAAATTTGTTTCATGTAACAGATTATACCTTTAATGCACAAAGAAACTTTACCTAATGCAATAGAAAGATTTGCTTCACAACCGTATTCGCTACATCTGCAAATGTAAACAGTGAGGCTGAGCCAAACTGACTCTAATGCAATGATGGAATATCGTTGTTGCATACGTACATAGTAGAAAATAATTATTTAATATGTCAGGCACCATTATTTGAAATGTAATACATTAATAATTACTAGAAAAATAAGACTTTTGTTCTCCCAACTTCCTTAATGAAAAAGGACTATCTGACAGTGTATCCAGTAGCTTGTAACATCTATATATATATACTTAAGGATAACTTCAAGTGCTGTATCGCTAACTTAGTACAGTAACCTGCAGAAAGTACACTGGCTGGTAGAGTAGAATCTTCATTTAATTAAAATCTAGCATTCGTTATGCATTTACATAGCCCTATTTCCCTGAGCATTTCTGCTAAGGTGTGTTCCCTTCATTTAGAAGCAAATAAATGCTTTTGAAGACATTGCCAAAAAAAAAAAACATAAAAAATAGTAAGAACCATCTAGGTAAACCAGGATTGACCGATATAAATTATTTTCTATACAGAAATACCTTTTCTTTTTTTTTTCTTTTTTTTAAGAACTCAAACGTGTTGCAGATCAAATGTAGTCAATGCATGTTAAATAAAATGTAGAAAGATGTAATAAAAATATATATACATGTTATGTTAGCACGAGATTATTTTTTGATGAGAAAAAAATACTTTGGCATTAATTGATCTAATGAGAGTAAAAAAATGATGGCTTGGGATTTCTTAAAAATAAAAGACGGAAGGTAAGCTTTATCTTTTTTACTAGATAAACATATCAATAATTGTTTCAAGGCAACAATTAGTTATCATTAACAGAAAAAGAAACAAGACCTTAACAAAATTAAAGCAAGCTGCATCTATTTGTTAATTAGAAAAATGCTACAGATATATTTAGTAAATAGAGTTTTAACACTTATAGTTTTATTCCTATGTTTTAAATAAACTTTCAAGCAACAATTTAGGAAAAAAATAGAACTGGCATGTCCGTTATCAGAATACTAATATACAAAATACGTAATAACACTTGAAGCAGGGATCTTACTCTTTTTGTTTCAAAAAGATTCATTTAAAAAGTAATGTTCAATTTTTAACGTTCATTGAAATGAGACTGTTTGATTACTCGAAAGGCCAACATCGAGTTACTGTTCAAGCTAGAAATGGCCTGATATGAAACCCCTCGAGTGTGATTAAACCATGAAGATGATGGGGTATATCATTTAAAGGTCACACAGAATTGAGTTTACAAATTAATTGGCCATGTCAAGTAAAAAGAAAATAATAATAATAATAATCGAAAAGTTGGTTGTATAGTCAGTTGTCAGCTGTCCAGGTGGATTTAAAATAAACGAAGAGATTAATATATATATATATAGATACTCATGGGGATAGGCATATATATATATAAAAACTACCTCATCCTTTCACCTTAATAAGGCACATATGTGTGTGTGTGTGTGTGTGTGTGTGTGTGTGTGTTTGTAATTAAAGTATGCATGTCTGTATGGACAAATGGATACAAGATGAGATTTGCTATAAGTATAATTAAATCTTTAGCTAATTCATCTACACAAGGTCCACAACTATTAAGGTGAAAGGATGAGGTACGTTTTTATTTCTCACTTTTTACCTTGATGTTGAAGTAGGTTTTGGAGAAGAATGGGGAGACCTTTTATATTGGCCATTTAAGACTATGCAAGAAGCAAGCCAATGTACTGTTCAAAGCTTGCAATTTCTCCTTCCAGGAGATGAGTACTCAATATACACATGAATACACTATATGATTGATAGGGTAAGTAAATAGGACAGAACCTAAAGTTCTGTCTTCATTTAAGGAATTAATTTTCGATGTTTAGTTCACCCTTCATTAAGGTGACTGAATTTCTAAACTATTTAAATAACATTTTCAGGAATTAATTTTTTCTGACAGATGGAAATGTTTACAAACAAAAAAATATTTACCGAACATGGTACCCTGGCCCATAAAGCATAAAAAAAAATGTAAAATTTGAAAGGGTGTAAACCAATAAAATACTCTCCACATTGGGAATTGTATAACGTGTAAGCATATATTACAGAGCATGAAATATTAACCAAGATACAAAAGAATCAAAATCAATATTTCATGTGTTTGCGCTCTATATGTTACCTTTAGCTACAGCAAACTGATACAACTCTTTAGAAAGGGCAAGATCCCAATGCATTCTTTTTTGGGGGACATTTTACGCTGTTATTGTTGGTCCTGTAATAATACGCTTAAAGAATATTTCTGCACAAAATGGGATGGCACACCCAACACGGGGATCAAGATACCAGTGCCCCATGGCAGCTGCTGCAACAGGCTAGTGGTTACATGGTCAATGTTTCCAAACATTGGATGTAGTAACATTGAATGTATTAATGCCAGTACATAACACTAAAAATATTACATCTTGAGTGTTGGCATCTAATAAAATTTGCCAGGTTTAGAGTTTAATTCTTGCAAGTTTTGGTGGCAAAATTAAAAAGAAAATGAAAGAAAAAAAAATTACTAACATGACTCAAGTATAAGGGTTACAGTGTTATATATTGATAGCTCAGTCTATTACTGAAGCCACTGTAAATATATATTAAAAGTGAATACAAATTATAAAAGGTTTATCCTGCTTGATATTTATTATATAATATTTGGACAAAAATTTTAATAATTCTGAGCTTCAGAATTTACAATGAAAAACAACCAAACTGTGGCCTCAAAAAGTGATACACTTAGGGAATAATCCATTGGTTAATGTAGTCTAATGTAAAGCGATTTTAATAGTCAATTTTCACTCCAACTTTGCGTACCGAACAAACAGGAAAATATTTGATAGGCCTACACAGTAGCATAGCAAATATTTAGGCCCATGCATACAATTTTAATGGTTACCATATATTGCATTATACAGCAATAGTGGGCCACTCTTGTGAAATGGGGATTAAAAAAAAAAAAAAAAATTGATTGCAATAATGCATATCCTTTCAGTACCACCACCATATTCAGGATCTATGTGCAAAGTGTGTGATCATGCGAAACATGAAACCACAACCCAACTCACTCAAATTGCACTCATTGCTGAATGGTAAAGAAGCATTTACAGGAATATTGGTTTCAAAATAGGCAATAATCTTTGCTTTCACTCAAAAGACCATCCCACACTAAAGACCTCTTAAAACGCTGTGAACTCCTATATTAAGAGGTTTATTAGGACCATCGAAATGCTAATATACATACATGTACATCTTGCACTGACCATAAAGCAGAACATTTGAGTGCAAAAAAGGGATGTGATACATCTTGCCCTTCAAACACTCAAAGGATTAATATCAATTACCTATTGTAACGTGTCAATAAAAAAAAATGGATAAAAAGATTATTCATTAATGATATGCTTCAGGAAGTGCATTACGGAGCCCTAATAGGAAATTACAAGCTACTGAATTTCTATTCAGACAACCTATTTCTATTTAAATTGTGCTAAGTGCTAAAGTTTTACTCTTTAGTTTTTCCATTCTTTTCAGCTTGTGCAATGTTCTTATGTAGGCCTCGCTGAATATGAGTTGTAAAGTCATACTTGTCCGTGCAAAGATGTTGGCATATACTGCATTGAAAAGGTCCACTCTCACCATGGCAACTCATATGTAGCGCATACATAACTTCATCCAGAAAGACAATGCCACAGTGCACACATTTTGTTGAAAGTTCATCTTGAGTACTCCTATCCACTTTTTCTGTTTTTGCTACAATCAACACACCATCATCCTTCGTACTCAATGGTGACTTAGTTTTTTCTTTAGAGGCTCCATTTGTTGCTGATCCAGGCCTGGAATGCTTCATTGCCAAATCTAGAGGAATGTCATTATCTGATCCAACAGTGGAATATTGAGCAGGCAGACTAAAGGTGGGGTAAGGCACATAATTTGGGCAAGGGTTTGTTAGACCAGGCACATGACTCAAGTAGTGTGGATTCCCAGGTACTGGCAGCTTATATTTACTCCAGAACCTTAGCCAGTCAGCTTCACTCTGGAAGTCATTGTGAACAATAGGAAGTCCAAATACCGGGTACTGATATTTTTCTATTGGACTTCCCGGAGGAGAATAATTAGGATGCTTAATGGGTCTCATGTATTTCTCTATTGGGCTACCTCTTTCTGAACTTCCTTTGCTATCAGATACAGATGAACTATTTCCTGGATCTCCACTGCTTTCCTGAGGGCTTTTAATCTGAATGTGCAAAGGTTGCATCCGTTTGTGGATATCCATAGTTTGGCTGACTATTATTGTCTGCTGAGCAGAATGGCTTTTAGTCAATGAAGCTGGGGGCTCATACTTATTCATACTAAGTTGCTGAATTTCTCTCGGATGACCTTCTGCTGAATGGTCTTCCGACCTTCTCTCCAAAGGACTTCCATTAGCTTGTTCTTCGCTACTCCCTCTTTGATGTTTATTTAACTGTTCAGACTGTAGAGCTTCTGGGTTAAGGCGCTTCCTTGTTCGTCTCCTTATAATCTGTTCACCATTGTTCTGTTTAATTATGTTTAAAGGTCTGGGAGTCTGTAGAAGAGATAAAACACATAACTCAGAAAATAAGGTAATCTGCATTAAATGATAATATGCACAACAGAACAATCAAACACACTACATAAATTGTTAGTATTGATAAAAACACACAAAATTAAGGCCAAAATGACTATCTTAAAAAAAGTTAAAAAATAAAGCATAACAGTGAATCCTTCCTTCCTGGTAAAAATCTTGTTAATATTTAATCTTCGGATTAACTTGCTTCACTGCTGTGATGCTGTACTTAACATTTAAAAGAATAGATTTTTTTTTAAGACTTGATGAAATCATTAAACTTCATGCCTCAGTCTACAGATGTTTCGACACTTTTTTTAATATCACAAATAACTGATTTTCATTTATAACACTGTTTCAGAAGATTAAATAGAACAGTGTTTTTGGATCTGCCTTGCAGGATATAATGTATGTAAGTCATTAAAACTTGTTTCACTGTACTGAAATATTCAATAACTCACATTATATTTCATATGTCCTTTTTCCTCTGCTTCCCGAGGGAAAAGAATGTATCTAATCAGTAAAGATGACGCCACTATTATTCTCTCATATAAGGCATAAAAGGGTGCTAATGAGACAACTGTAGGCTTTAAAATACAGACCACAAATAAATTGTGAATAGCAAGATGTAAACAATATGTTGCTTATACGTAACCCACAGATTGTCTTGTTTGTTTGTTTGTTTTTGTGTACATGTTTATAATGGCAATAACCTGTTATAAATTAGTCCATGTTAAAAATTAAGCTCCGCTAGACGAAACAAAAAGAACATTTTGTTTCCTACAGATCTGAGTTTACTTTTGCGATAATGTTTCTCAAACAGCAATGCCAAGTTTTTGCACAGTTAAAAAACACTAAGAACAAAACTAAGGTAGAAAAATAAATAACAAAATAATTTCTCTAAAGAATATAAGTTCCATGGAACTGACACATCCGTGATAATTACTAAAATTAGAACTGTTGAGAAATGAAATGCGAGTAGCAATATGTTGGCACCAATAACTAATTAAAAATAAAAAATCTCCAACTCAGCCCTAATTAGCCCTAATTTTTCTAATTTGGGTTTGAATTCACTACAATTTAGAGTCAAGTGAATAACTAATTTATCTTTACTTCACGAACCACAAAACTTTTAAATTGTAATATTTTTGAATGCCTGATTTTATATTATATTCAGGATTGAGCCACGCACTGCTTACATCCTCATTCTTACATCATGCATTATCAGTAGAATTAGGAGACTGGCCAGTGGTTTGTTTAATCAAAAACATTTATATCTCACCTTAGAAAGTTAACTGGCTCCTACAAGTCACTTTTTGTTTTGTTTTTTTATTTTTTTTAAATAAAATAAAGGACCCAGTTATGGTCCCATTTATTAATTTAATGCAAAACAAACCACTCCTTGCAAGTAGCCATACGAGAATATAAGATAGCATGAATACATTTTTCTTTTTAATGAACCATGCAGGCTTAAATGTACATGCCATTGTGTTGCAAGACAAAAGTACATAAAAATATAACTTTGTGTACCTTAGATATTCATATTTTTATAATACTTGCAGAATAAAAACATCTTCAACGCAGTCATGCAAAGCTATGAGGCATATGATCCAACAATCATTAAAAACAAACTATTTCCGTAGCTGCATATAAGGTGTAGATTTAAAATGATTTTGCCTTTTTTTCTATTTGGCAGAAAAATGATATTCAATAAAGTAATTTAAGTACCAAGCTTTTTAAAACTCTATATATTTCTTGTAGGGAATAGAAGAAGTATTGTGAGAAACACCAAACAAAATAAAATGTAAATTTAAGAGCAGAGCTTGGAAGGATACGGAAATTTTAGCAATTTACTTTCAGCAGAAATATGTTAATTTTGTTTTTTCTTCCTACCGAGTGAAGTTTCTGGTATAGGCCACACGCGTTGCATACATAGCCACCATTTGCATTCTTTCGCCAAAGTGATGTTTTTGTGGTGAGACAATTGGCACAAAAAACACCGGAACCTCTACGTCTCTGAAATATCGAGAAAGAAAAATACACGTCAATATGAGATACATTTCCTTTTTAGCAGAGAGTGAAATTACTTTAAAACATTTGAAAACATTTTTTTTTTTTTTTATAAGAGTTGAATGCAATTTGTTTAACAGAGTTGAATGCAAGGTCTGAGGTTTACTAAAGAGTACAATATGGTGTATAGAAAAGAGTATCAATATTTTAAAGGTTTATACAGCAAAAAGTGATATACTGCTAGTTGACAAATGAGTTGCTAAATTTTAGTTAAGGGAACACTGTACTCACTATAACAACTTCATCTGAATTAGTGGCCCCAAATGTTAATATTATATTAATTAGGCCTCCAAGCCCTCTTGGTTACTTCCTGGATGTCAAATCCTGCTATATCATGATATTTTATGCACATGCACAGTGCCATCATTGTCTTCCGTACAGAATCACTGCATTCGACAGATGGGTCCAGGATGATCAGGTGAGGAGGTGCGGCAGTGGTACCAAGGGAGACTCGGCACTAAAGAGAAGGCGAGTAAAAATGTTTTATTTTGTTTATATATGTTTTGGTATAGGCAGGTGGGGGGACGGCTAAAGCTAGGTGAGGACATGTAGACTGTAACTTTAGAAATACAGATATGTATTCCTAACATTACAGTATCCCTTTAATCTTGACAAACTCGGGGGGGGAATCTATTGTTCTGTTAACTGATGATCTAATCACTCTTTCACTACTATTTTTCACTGGCTTTCACTACTAACGCTAGCAATCTTTTCTACGTAGCTTTTCTACATACGTAACTGAAATTTATATGAACTTATAACTAAATGCTTTTTTAAGGTGCTATTCAATATTTAAATATGCATCAGATGCAACTAAAAAAATTTCAGTAAAAAAAATACAAACAAAAAAAAAACACTGAAGAAATTTTCATTTTATTATAATTACTTTTATATA